ATAGCATTGATTCTTCATTGGAATGGCTCTGAAAGAGCTGTCTATCTAATGGTCACCCGGCGTTGCAAACAAGGTTATTGTGACGAAAATACACGTCCTGGATACAAATATATGAATGAACTGACGAAAGATTACCGGATACGCATGCCTGACGAGCGGTAAGAACCGTGAAACCGGTCGTGTGCTTCCAGGGAAATTTTATCCTGTCATTCACAAACTACTTATTATCAAATATATATATTCACATATTTACCGTCTCCCCATAACACCGATTTCGTCTCCTGTTATCCGAGATTATTATTCTTTTCTTTGTTCATTTTTACTTCCTTTTGCTGAATACACTATGATACCATTTTTGGGAAGGGGGAAGCGGCCAATCAAAGGGCTGCCATACAACACATAAATGGGGAAAGTCAGGCAGTGGTGGTGGGATTCGAACACTCATCCTCCGGGGTGATAACTTGGTGACATTACCACCGAGCCACCACCGTCCGGATGTTATTTATTCGTTATACGGTTCTGTAGACCGATGGTTAGAATAACGTTCTAGGGTTTATTAGCTTCACACCTAGGTTCCAGATTCTTCCGATACCAGAACACATTACAATATTTACGGAATAGCTTGAAATGAAATACTGAATAATTTTTTCTCAGCCCAGTGAAATGTTTGGAAAACATTTTGTCGAAACATCACAAGATTAAGTTCCAATCCCGGTTTACGAACACGTGTATCCACCTAGAGCTTTTCTGCTGGTGTCTTTCGCCGATGAGTCTAATGTGTGTGTTTGTGTGTGTGTGTGTGCGTGTGTGTTGATCATCAGATCAGTTGGGAACGGGCGACTTCTGCCTCAGGATTAATAAAACTCATCGGGGTCACTATTTATTTGCCAAACGCGTCTAGACATCTGACCCGTCATCAAACGCTTGTCCGATCTTGCCTCAAATCGCTCTATTTGTTGGTTACCGTGGTTGCATAGTCAGACTGGTCGTCCGCGGGGAGCAGGGGGGTTTGAAAACAATTTCGGACCGTTTTCGTTTTGTATTATTCAATGGGAATATATTTAACGGTACTTATGAAAAAGCGCAAACTGTTCGGAGAAGTGACCGCGGTCTCTGCCCGTTCCAAGCCAAACCGGTCCAGTTTCTTTTACTCAGATAGATTGGTTAGTTTACATGAACAACATCATACGTTGCATCACTTTTGGATTGTCCAATCAGTTTAGGCCTACTGTTACATGTTTCGTGTTTGTTAGATCTCATGAACTCCGGTATCTAGGGCCAATACCAATAACGTTTTTCAGTTGATGGTATTCCGAAGGTTATGGCAGGTTTCTTGGTGATCGAGTGGTATGGGTGACCAAAATATCGCTCAGGCGAACGTGTTCAAATCCCACCACCACGGTCACCTGCATTTCCTTATTCTGTTATATGGCAGTCTTTTGACTGGTCGCTTCACCTTCCTGAAAAGTCTATCAGAATACAATTAATAGAAGGAAGTAAAAAGGAAGAAAAGAACCTGATAGGCTCACTGGTTTGCGGCTGATCATATGTATGTTCGTTACAGTTTTAAGCACCCCTCTTTCTCGTTGCGATATCGCCATAACTAAAGCTCGTGTTTGTTGAATGAGCAACATAAAGAGATGACCGCTCACCGTTGGCTGAAAAGCACGATAATGGGTAATTAAATGCTCCATCCTCTCAACTGGGCTCCCTTTTTGAACATGTTGAATCCCTGGGAACAAATCAAACCTGAATCTCTTGGAAAATGTAAAAAGACTAGCATTTATGCTGGACTAACACCGTCGTCGTGCGGATAATTATTTTTCAATAAAAGTAACTTGCGGATCACTTCGCGATACCTCATTAGATCCTTTTTCAACTATGTTCTCCGAAGTCAAACGGATGTACTTGTGTATTGCACTGTTCGACTGTAGAATCCCTATAAAATGTCATCAATTACTCGCTCATGAATCGCATACACAAAAGCTTTGCATCTGAATCTCGGCTGTTTATTCTCTGCCTCATTACTTGTTATCAGGTATCTCCTCAAAACTGAGAGCATTTCCCAAAGGGGTAGAAACAAATGCATATTAATAGTGTCTTTTGTTAAAGTTGCAATTTTTAGTTTTGTTTGAACTTCCCACTGAAATTGAGCAAATTTATTATTCACCTCGTTTCCCCATTAATTTTTCAGGTTTGAAAATTAAGTAGTCTTATTGCTGGACGGTCGATAGCGAGAATAATGACACTCCGTAAACCTTTTATTTCAAAAAGAGAACCAATATGTTTTGTCCTTTGACGGGTATATAAATAACCTTTGAGAACATTCGTTGGACTTCAGGCAATAAATTGCACGTTCCATTTAGTGTGAAAATAAAACAACACTCAAAACTGGTATTTGTGGTGAAGGTGCTTGTTTGGCGTTTTAATGTATGCTGCGTGTAAAAAACAAGGGTTCAGTGTAACCGACAGAAGCTACTGAAAGTGGAAAATACTTTCTGGCAATTCCCGTTGGTTGTGGAATACTTTGACTAATGGGTCGGGTTTAACAGACACCTAAGAAGCTTACTACATATGCAGACAGCTGTTTTCCCTTGTACCAATCACATTTCCCATTTGAGAGACTCACACATATACCTCGATCGTAGTTGACACAAGCATGAGCGCCAAAGCATGGCTATACATGGTATGCGCTCAATCAGTTCAGCTACAAGGTCACAGTAATAGCCTAAAGCGTATCACATTTTTGGCCACGTGGACATACCATTTTGAACATCTAATGAATTAATTTTCTAAAATTCGGTGGGTGTTTATGATAAACCGTTTGTCTATAAGAATGCTTAGTTTCTATGTCTCTAGAAAGCACTGTTCAATTTGGAACCTAGAACTATTCAATTTGTTCTGCTCTGATATCAGTTCCGTTATTATGCAACTGCACATTGATTTTCAGCCCCACGGACAAAGTTGACGTTGTTTCCACTGTACCGTACGTAACCGAGGAATACCAGGTTGAGAATTCAGACAAGACGACAACAGATCAACTGCAGCAAGAAACAGACAAAACCGTAATCCGTGTGACTGAGAACGGGCAGTACACTTCAGATCAGACCAGATCGATCAATGATGAATATAACCTGCCCCCTCAGACCAAGACTCCTATTGAGCTGTTTGGTGCTGGATATTCACGAATCGGAGCAACCGGTCGTCCGTCAGACGCGGACGAGTCCACTGTGATCGAGAGCCCGCAAGCGAGGGCAGATAATCGTGTGGATTCAAGTGCATCACCATTTTTCACCGACAACTTTGATTTCGGCAGTGCACAAACGTTCGAGAATGATGGCACGACTGAGGCGCACGGAGAAAGTTTGCCAATGTTCACCATGTCTGACGCTAGGATCGTGAAAGACCAAACCGTGGGGTTGCCAAAACCGAAAAAAGAGATCAGATTCACCGAGCCCACTGTTGAAGTGTTCCAGGCGGAACAACTATTTCCGGGGGAGAAGGGAACACTGATGAGGCACTCAGAATCACTGCAACCAGTTCCGGATACGGAAAAGGATGACTGGGTGGATCGGGAAACCACAACAGATACGAGTGACCCGTCAGATGAGCTGGAGGTCAACACTGCCCGAGGTAATAAGAATACAAATATTTAATAGTTTCAGTGTCGTTAATATTTGGGTTTTGTTGCGGAGGATGCAACACCAATCGTTTCGTTTTATACATGGATTATAAAAAAATGAATAAGTGACAATACATTCTAGTAGACTTTCTGGTACGAACTTGGGAAGAAATGTTTCTAAAGTGTTTGCCAATCTAAAACACATTAAAAATATTCACTCTATCGGTAAATATTTAATTTTTACTCTAAGTAAGTCAGAAGTATTTTTATGGTATAAACTGGACGGTGGTGATTCGGTGGTAAAGGTCATCAGTAACTTCGAAAATATTTCCAGAATTTCATGAAAAATATCGTCTGGGAAAGTTATCGTTTTTCAGGATAACGCTTTATGTCTTGTTTCACGAAAGGTTACTAAATTTATTTATTTAAGGAGTCTGATTCACTTATTATTTGCTTTTAGACTTCGGAAAAAAATGCGTGACTCCAAGGTCAAGTTCATGCAACTTCCTCCTAATATCCCGGATTTCAAAGTGTTTGAAAATCTGTTTTCTGTTTTGAAGAGAGAGGTCAATGTACTACCTATACATTGGACATTGGAGGCAAAAGTGCGCAACGTAATGGAGCACAAAATAGAAAATGACTTCATAACAAAGTTGGTGGATTCGATGGCGAAGAGACTCGAATAAGTTCTAAGGAACAAAGGTAGACCAATCGACTATTAGTGTGCATTAACTTTACACCTTAATTATTATCAGTGTTAATTTGTTGTAAATAAAACTGTTCCATTCGCTTCAGTTATCTCTTAACTCATCATGGTTTAGGTCAACCACTACTGACGAAATGGGAGTATCCGCTACATTTTGAACCATTCCACCTGCTGAGTGTAAACGAATCAGGAAAATTACAGCTATCAAGACTCACCAGGGCTTGTTTATTATTATTTGGAAAAAATTTACTTCAGTATAAATGCTGTTATCTATACGAACCGGCAAGTGTTTCACAGGGACCCGTTACTTCAGTTTCGATTAGACCTCTATGTCAGAAATCACACTACCACCGACCAACTTTCTGCATTCTGTGTTATATTGCAGTCCTTTAATTGTCCGCTTCCCTCTTCCTTAAAATTTTATCACTATTCATATTTAATAAAAGGAAGTGAAATAATTTAAAAAAGTGACTAGGAACCGCGAGTTTCAAACCCAAAAACAAGCGAATTTTTACGAGTTCGCTATAAATAGTTGTGTGTAGTTCATAGGTTTATCTGCAGAACACTTGCATATTTCTACGGTCATTTTGGATAAATTGGCCACCAAAGCCACGCCATAATTGTGACGAATGGAAGCGAAATTCGATTGATGGATATACATTTACCGTGGCTGTAAAAATAGAGGCGGGGGGGGGAGATGATGATTGTGTTGACCTCCCTGGTAAGTGCGGGTGTGTGTGGAGTAAGATCAATCGATCAATGAGCTATTGCTCAAACGAATGGAGTAAGATGTTCCATGCTCTGTCGACAAGGTTTACTATTTTATGCTATAAGTCACCCTCAGAGCCAATGCTTTACACAATAACATTGTAACAAGTGGATTCATAAGAGCCCGATAAATATATATATATATATATATATGACTTATTCTGTTCGGCCCACCATGCATATAGAAATCACAGTCACCAGATCATAATGCATTTAACGTCAGCGATACCCGTGTTAGTACGGTGACTAGACTAGACTAGACTTAGACTATTCTGCCCAATTTGCTCACCTCCACCAATCCGCTTAATAGGGCGGAATAGACAAGATAATGTTTTCGAGCCTATTTACGAATTGCAAGCTTCAGATTTGAAGCCACAAGCATTTTTACATAAGTTCCCAACTCCTCTGTATTTACTCGCTTCTTTGTGAAACCAGTGTTTTCCTCTGAGTTAAACCGATCTAAAGAAAGCGCTGCTTTCTTTTTTTTCACAATCGAAGCGACCAGAGTTTACTTTGAGGAGTTGGGCTACTTGAATTCTTCGTGCGTTTCCTGAGAAAAACTCAAACCCGACGTGTTCAGCTAGACCGATTGCTCTTTAGCATCGTCTGTTAGGACCACCTGCAAAATTGTGACTTTATTTTTTCACGAACAGCATAAGATCAAATCAAGCCGATCGACTTCGCCAAAAGCACCGACGATTCAGAAGTGAGTGGATTTGTGAGTTACGATCACGCTTTGCTATTTGACACAGTTTCTGAATTTACCGCTCAATGATTCTGGTATAACTGGAAGTAAAACCGGACGAAGACAGTTAGGCAGGTTAGAAGCGGAGCAATTCCTACCGTTGCGCATATAGGCAACGGAATCTGAAGCTGACTGAATCATTGCTACCTGTCTACACCATCAACTATTTGCGATCGATGGAGATTAGAAGATTTCCACTATCAATGGAGGAGGTGATTGTGATTCGACCAAAAAGCTCCTTTTGTGCGCTCAAAAATAACTTGTTACAGGTCTCAACCTGTCATAACCGATTATGTATCAGGAACACCAAAAAGTGTCAATGGAAAAGAAAAGAACGTCGACTTCTTGACTGAAATTTAAGAGAATAAACTCAGATTGGATCTCTTCTCACCCTCTCCGGATTTATTTTGCTCGCCTTTGAATAAATATACTTCAACCTATGTATTAGTATTGCATTTGGCTAGTTAATGAAGCATCAAAACTAGGCTTTTGTCAATCTGCCTTCTCTCCGGGTATATTTACTCATGTCTCTTTTCGGTATTTGAGGCGATAAGCAACCACGACAAACGATTCGGAAATTAAGCTAACACTGATGCTATTGTTTGACGAATAACGATTCAACTTTTAAAAGTTGAGGATGCGTCGAACAAGCAGTGTAACAGTCACATCTAAAACTTTTGATAATCCTTCTTCTATTGTTTGGTTCCTGTAAGATATCTCTTCTACCCGCTGATATTCAAACCCAGAAGAAACTGGCTTTTAAATATGAAGATTTTTTTATCTTATTATAACCACCCTCAGCGTTATTTATTTGTTATTCGGTACGAAGATGACAAATCTACTCGCCCATACCGCTTCACAATTTTAGCCATGTACCTTTTTTCTCCGTGTAATCCAATGGTAATGCAGTGTTTCGCCCAATTATTCAGCATTTAAGCCTTGTTATCAATCGGTTTGAAGATTACCACATAAAGACAGGTCCCAAAATCAATTTTTGTTTTCACCTAGTTGGGAAAGGTCACTTTTTTGGCTCCATGGGAAATAACCCAGATAAGACCCGTTCAAAAACACCGTCGATACAAAACAACCCACGAAAAAAACGTGTTTCGATTGGAAATTAAGTTACTGAGTTTATACATGTTCCCTGAAAGGCATATGCCATGAACAGGAGTGAAATTAAATTACATGGAGCGCTTCCGACATAGCCGTGGCCAAGGCCAAAGGACACAAGTGGGCGCTAAACAACCCTGTTTAAGAACTAAAATTCTATGAGGCAATGCTGAATTGCCATGGGAAAAACTGTATAGATGAATACTCTACCCACCCTTCGCTAGTTATGTCAGTTTAGGAGGCTAAATTTCATCAAATAAAAGGGCCAGCAATTTGTGTGGAGGTATTTTTCAGGAGATTTTAACGATCGCGACTTAACTATAACGCGTGTACATAGCCATGAAGATAAGGTAGCAGTAAACATTTTACCGGTCGTGACCCGTGGCTTTTTAAAGACCACACGTTCAATCCATGCATTGATGAGATTGATCACTTTTTGTCGTTATCTGATGATTAATGCATCAGCTTTCCCCTCACCCCCCCCTCCACCGCCAATTATGTCAACGAATGTTACTTCCTACTCGCAAATTAGGTATACTAGTCACTTGATCGATCTGGCAGACAATCAACGCCGTGGCCAATGCGGTTTTCTCTATTTGGCCACAAATAGCTGTGCGCCAATGCTCTATTCTGTGTGTGTGTGCTATACTGTGCACAATTAAACGACACCATTGAAACAGGCATCATCTTACCCCATCATCTGTAATATTCCAATAAGGACACAAAGGCGATCATCATGATTTGGGTGATTATCGCAATTATTATGGTACGGCTGGTGTTGACGGTGACGTACGATGACCAGGATGAGATTAGTCGTAGACTTCCATATAAACATTGCAGACTGAAATACTAGTACGCTGTTTGTCCTCAGCGAATCGATAGCCTCACGTAAACTTTCACTTGACACGAATAAACAGGCAGCCATGTGTTCATTCGACCACCACCCTTCGACACACACATGCATTCAAGTACCAACTAGCAAACCTCAGTATTCGGATTAGATCACCAGACCATACGGCGAGTCCACCCGACAGGCAGTCACTCAAAACCACCAAGTCGATGCGTGCTAAAACATCATCCAACCGACACATAAGACTACAATTTCCCGCAAAACATCTGTTGTCAGTAACGCAACGGGAACGGTTGCTTCCGTATTGGAGGATCAGTCATCAATTTTCTCTTGCGATCATGCTACTTAAACGTGAACTGTGATAACATGTGCTGACTGTTATAGCAGATAAACCACTTGGTTACGTCACAAAAAGTGGGGTTGACCGATTATCTCAATCTGACAAAGAAGATATCGCGTCTGTCGCAGTAACGAGTCTATCTCTCTCGGTTTACAAAACCTGACACCCTGTTTTCGAAAAGCGGTATCAGTGATTACGTTGCTCGTTTATTCAAGTCCATTCTCTTACTGCAATCTATACGGAACGCAGATGCGTGATTCATTAATTAAAAAATCACATCTTTAGTTCAGGGAATCACCACATTTATAGTGCCAGACCGGCCAGTTGTTGAATACAGTTACTTGGTTCCCCGGTTGAACTTAAGGACATCTTGCATTTCAAGTGGGCGACCAGTATAAAGAAATCAACGAGTGACCGTAACCACATATGTTCAAACTGGATCACGCATTGCCCGATACTGAAAGTGATACTTTTGTTGTTAAAATACAAGAGGTAAGATTTGGTAATCTATCCATAGTCTATCGATTTTAACGTGAGCTGGATATTTATATGGTACATTATTTGCTTCCACGTGCTGCTTGGGAAAACCGGAAGCAGCACAATGATAAAACAGTTTGATATTGACCATAAATAATTACAATGAATATGATAAGAATAGGAGAGCGGCTGGTTATGTTGCTTTTGTATGAGCTAGATTTTAATGAGGACGGTTAAACAAATGATCATTTGTCACATTTTCGAACGGTTTCATCTTGTATTCTGTTGAACTGGCAACGGTCATCTGGGCTATGAACATCCATGACACAAGTATCGAGGATCCTACTTCGGTTGGTGATAAAACATGCAAAACCAAACATCTCAGCGCGGTGAGCACACAGTGAATATGATTGAAAAGGGATTCTACCTTTCGACACCATATGCTCACAGATATACGAAAATCTGGCGCTGAATTCTGCTCATATATAATGAGAGATGCACGTGATGTTTATTTTTTTTCGAAAAGGAGTACAGGCTGAACGTAGTAGTGGCTCTGAATGCAAATTTTAAGGAAAAATCCTAAACGCACTTTTACTAATAATTCGCATCTTGCAGTCTCTATTTCTAATTTGCAATACAACCATCGAACAGCTGGTATGTGTGTGTGTGTGATCTCTGTCTTTATTTCTCCTCTGCCTTTCCTACCCCCCCCCNCCCCCCCCCCTCCACCACCCCGAACAGAGGCATGTTACCAGCGTCCGATCATTCAACCGTGCTCAGAAGATGTGTTTCGAGAAGGTCCAACAACATCCACTTGGTACTATGACCCGGTTGAAATGGCTTGCCATCTCACCTCGGACTGTATTACAAATGCGAACTCATTTCCGACAGAAAAGGCTTGCAAATCGACCTGTATGCCACTTTCCGGTGAGAGAGTCCTGCGTGAGAAACATTTGGACGGTTATGCTCGGGAGTGACTGTATTAATTCGAATATAATTTTCACTTAAACATTTTGACAGTGGG